AGAGAGAGAGAGAGAGAGAGAGAGACCCCTTCACTACCTTACCCGAGACCGTCTTGGGCTCTTTGGCTGGACCAAAAGTAGAAGTGAATTTCCATGTTACAAAAACAGTTGTATTACCTGTCGTGAAAGCACACGATTCAATTTGACTTGACATCTATTTGTGTCTGTGGAAGAGCCTTTACTCCCTGCTCCAACGCCTCATCCCTCAAACCGTCGTTACTCTCTGATAAAATCTAATAGACCTCTTGCAATAGCAAAATGGAGTGCGGAAAAGCGTTTCACCCGTATACTAACACATCCCCTCCCCCCTCACCCCGCCAACAGTAACAAATACCCATTATACAAAACAACAAAAAAGTCACCCCAAAAAATCAGAATTTCTGTTAATTCTTAAAAGACGTTTTTAAAAAAAGTTTTAGTAGAGGTTTTACGGCGCTCGCAACTGCATGAGGTCATGTGAGCGCCAGAAGATGAGAGGTGTTACACGAGAGTAACAAACATAAACAAGGAGAGTAACAGACATAAAACAGAAGAATGGGAGATAAGGACGATAAATGTTTGATAGGAAAGAAGAAGCAAACCACCACCAGAGCTCCCGCCAACCACCCACAAAGACCGGTTTGGAAGAATTCTCTGTAGTTGTTCTTTTAAAGCTTGATGTTTTTGCAGCAATTATTGTAGATGGCTTACGCCCCCATCAACATGATTTATATCATTTAGGAGGCGGGCTGCTTTGCTACCCTGTATATCAGGACCATCCCAGACCGAGGAGCTGAGGACACAATTACCTCCAGGCAGAAAGACGGAGACATTATTATATTATTATAAATTTTCCCCATACCGAATCGAAATCACGTCAGGTGCCTCTCATTCAATAGGTCATGGGTTCGGATCCGGATAGCGAGGTAAACTTTTCTTTTTTTAAATGTTCTCCTTCCACATCCTTTCCTGCTCTCTAACAATGTTCAATCGTCTGCTTTTGTCTCCATTTTCTGCCCCCAACCCCTCACTTCGCCTCTTTGCCCCCTCCTCTGGGCTCTTGACTCTTGACTCTTTCTGCAGCCTTTCTACTGATTCTCCTTGGCTCCTTCTTACTGCTGTCTTTCAGTCACAACCCTGATTTTATGGTAGGAACGATCTACACCTAGCCTTCTCCGACAAGAGTGAAAAATCTCGGAGGTCGCGTGTGCAAGTTGCGCACGTTAGAGATCCCTTGGTGGTCCAAAATCGATAAGAGTTGGCTTCGGTCGCCACCGGGGCAAAATTCAAAATTTCTTACCAACTGAAAATGTTAGATGTGTCCCGCGCGCTCAGCTGACCTTGTGCCCTTGCGAGCGTCGTAAACCACTCACCAAAAAAAAAAAAAA